AAATACTTAAATATTTCTTTCAACGATAAAATGGTCGAAGAATGAAAAAAGAAAAACAAAATTACTAACCTGTTTTAGAAAGTAGCCAATTTTGGTCTGCTGCCACATGCCACGCAAAGTAACCACGCAATCCTCTTCCTTTAACATAAGTAACCTTATTTCTAACGGTTTGAGTATTGTCATAACTAATTCAAGTATTACCAAAATAACAATAATCTCCAACGATCGTTGCATTATACACTGTTGTGGCACGATTTTGTACTATATAATTCCTGATTTGAATATAAGTCATCGATCCATCATCGATCGAACCAACACTCGATTTACCATTTGCAGGAGCCCTAAGTCCATGATTATTAGCATTAACCAATTGCCAAGCATAGCCATAAAATGGAATTCCAAGAACCAACTTTTGTGCTGCAACACCTGCTTGAATCCATGAAGCAGTCCCATCACTATCGCTCACGTGGTTCACGGGGTCAAATAATTGTGCATGTGAATTGGTTTGTGATGGTGACCAGTTCGGTCCGTAGAAGTCATATGACATGACATTGAGCCAACCTAAGTTTCGAGCCACAGATTGAACTGGATAGTTCAAACCATTGACTCGGGGTGTGTTGGAAACAGCCGCTGTGAGAAATAGTGATGCCCTACCAGAATTTCTTGCCTCTGTGTTGATGGCAGCACGAAATTCGTCTAAAAGAGTACCTATTTAAGACAATTAAAGAAAATTACAAATGTGTTTCATCGGACATTTTAAATTAGATGGTCACACAATCATTATTTCATATGGAGATCATTAATCGGTGGAGTTAGGTTTTGAATTCAAATTTCGTCTGAACCAATGACAAAGGAAGCATATAATGATTCATATGTTCAACAGAACTCAATATTTTAGACAAATGAGTATGTATGTGCGAGAAAGAGAGAAAGAGACATAGTATGTTAAAGAACGACAAAAGCCCCACGTTGGTGGTTAATGAGATGAGTGGACTTGGGCAATCCTCCTTCCTTTGAGCTAGCTTTTGGGGTGTGAGTTAGGTACGAGACCTAATTTCACAACACCCAAAATCGAACAACAAAAAACAAATGATCGTTTTTGCAAAAAAAATCAACCGAGTCACTAAAATCCAAAAAACATAAAAAATCTATTTATTTATTTAAAATAAATGAAAAATAATTTTCAAAAAATCAATCAACATAATTTACAAATTGGGAGGGGGAGGATGAAATTCCAATACCATATAATTAAATTCCCCGATCCCACCTCATCCCAAAGTAACAAACATATTAGTAAAATGATGATCGCACAATTTAACGTACCTAAATTTGCCATGTCTATAGTTGACTCAGGATATTCCCAATCAAGATCAAGTCCATGAAATTGTTGGAACTCATGATCACCGACTGGCAGAACCAAGAATGAAGAAAGCGAATGAAGAAGATGAGCTTTATTCGGATACGGGTTGAGGGCCTTATTTTGGAATAAACGTCTCTTGGGCCTGATATTTATCTTTGGATTTCATCCCATCTGAAGCACACAAATGCCATTTCAGCAGCCCATTTCAATATACAGCTTTGCTTATATTAATTCACATTGTATAGGAAAAGATATTTTAGATTATTTTAGAATAGGATGAGCTGTAAAGTATATAGTCAGAGTTGGTTACCTACTTCCTTTTAAATTGACTTTCTAGTCCTTAGTTTACATGAATAAGTAAGCAACTCTTTGTACAGTTTTTAGTTCAGTGAAAATAGAGAAAAATTTCCCAAATAATTCTTCAAGATTTCATTGAAATCTTTCATGGTATCAGAAGCATTTTAAGGGAAATTCATCATCTTCTCTCCTATTTTTTCTTCATTATACTGCTTCACTCAATTTCAGTGAGATGGCAATTGAGACCGTAGTTGACAAATCTTCCTCTTCAGCTGAGAAAACCACTGATGTAGTCAATTCCAGTCATCCATACTACTTGACTCCATCAGATTCGCCTGGAAACAATCTCATCAACATCATTTTCGATGGTTCTAATTATGGAAATTGGAAAAGAGGAGTTTTAATTTCTCTGTCAGCTAAGAATAAGCTTTGCTTTGTTGATGACAAAGCAATTGTTCCACAAGAAGACTCACCTCTTTTTGACCACTGGAGAAGGTGCAATGACATGGTCATTGCTTGGTTGTTGAATTCTCTTAGCAAGGAGATCTCAGAGAGTGTTATCTATTGCCTGACTGCTGTTGATCTATGGAATGAGCTCCAAGAGAGGTATGGACAACCTGATGGAGCAAAACTTTTTCAGTTACAAAGAGATCTCAACAACATATCTCAAGGTACAAATGATGTTGCTAGTTACTTTAACAAACTAAAGAAGCTATGGGACCAAATGAAGGTTTTGAACACATTCATGACTTGTGGCTGTGATTGTAAGTGTGGTGCTAAAACACACAACCATAAAATGAATGAAGATATCAAATTGATGCAATTTTTAATGGGTTTGAATGAAATGTATTCAGGGTGTAGGGGGAATATTCTGATGATGAAACCCCTACCATCTACTAATCAAGCTTATTCCATGATCTTACATGAGGAATCTCAAAGAGAAGTGCATAATGGAAACATAGGATTTCCAGATTCTGTTGGCTTTAATGTAACAAGATGGAATGAACAGAGGAACAATCCACAATCCAGGGTGAATAATCAAGTTGTAGGAGCAGGTTACCAAAACAGTGGACAGAAGAATAACATGTTCTGTACCTACCGTAAGAAGACCAACCATGTAAGATTAAATTGTTATAAGTTGATTGGGTACCCTGCAGATTACAAGTTTACAAACAAGACAAAGAAGCCTCACAACAATGCTAAAGCTAATGCAGTTGGTACAGGAGAAAACAATTTCACTATTGCTTCTGAGGAAGGAATTATGCTCAATGAGCATTCTGGCAAAAATGTAGGATCAAGCACTATGTCAAATATTGTGAATTCTCAAGGTTTCACTAAGAATCAATGTGATAGACTGATACAGATATTTAAGTATGTCCAAAGTGGGGATTCCCAAGCATCAGGTTCTGAAAACCATTTTGCAAGCATGGCTGGTATTGCAACTGTTTTGAGTGCTTATTCTTCATGTTTCACTGTTTTTAATTCTAAACCATGGATCATAGATTCGGGGGCTTCTCAACACATGACTTATGACAAATCTTTGCTTCATGACATAAAATATCTTTCTAGACCAATTTCGGTTACTCTACCTAATTCCTATAAGGTTTCTGTCACATGCATAGGAATAGTTTCCCTCATTCCTAATTTAGAGCTACAGAATGTGCTCTATGTTCCTTCTTTTAAACACAATTTACTTTCTGTAAGCCAATTTGTTGATCAAACCGAGCTTGGTTTTCTTTTTACTAAACGTGGGTGTTTTCTACAGGACCTCAATCTCAACAGGAAACAGATTTTTGGTGAAGCTGCAGCTGGTCTATATGTACTGAAAGATTGCACATCAGATTCCAATCCCATTTCAATTGAGTCTTCTAGTTTTCAATCTTCTTTAATTTCTCCCAAACATCATGTTAAGTCCAAACATGTAGTATCTGATTTTGAGTCTTTTCATTCTAAATTAGTCAAGAATCCTGTCGTTTGTAATGATCAGAATATGAATGCAATGAATACTCTTTCTGATTCTCTTGACTCTAGAAAACTTTGGCATTATAGGTTGGGGCATTTACCTTACGCTTCTATGAGGCACATTAAAGATATATGTTATTCAGAAGGTGAGAAACATGATTTTCCTTGTGAAATTTGTCCAATGGCTAGACTCCACAAATTGCCATTTTCTAAAAGTCATATTACCACCAAAAACAGTTTTGAATTATTGCACATTGATACTGGGGACCCTACAAGACCCAAACCTACAAAGGGGAAAAATACTTTCTCACTATTGTAAACGACTACACCAGATCTACATGGACCTTTCTACTTTCTACAAAATCCAATGCATTTCCAATACTGAGATCTTTCTAATCTTATGTTGAGAGACAGTTTGATTGAAAAGTAAAAATTATTAGGTCTGATAATGCCTATGAATTAGGTTCAGGTGTTCTCCTCTCAGATTTCTTTACTTCACAAGGTATTGTTCATCAAACCACTTGTGTTGCTACCCTACAACAAAATGGGATAGCAGAAAGGAAGCACAAACAT